ATTTCAAAAGGCAGCTGTTCACAAGTGCAATATGGCTGGGAAGCCTGCTGTGGTCACTCGTGTGGTAGACAGTATGACTGATAACTTGAGACCCACTCGTGCTGAGGCAACTGATGTAGCCAATGCTGTCTTGGATGGTATCTTTCAGTTCTCAGAATGGAACCTTGATTATCTGATTAGTTTCTGAGTGTCTGCAGAAAGTTCACACATGTTCTTTTGTTTGCAACTATGAGAGATGATTTTGTCTGTGCATACATTATCTATGATAGCTATTACAATGGCAACTTGAAAACTTATCTTCTATTCTTCTCCATTGTTTCAGGCTGCGATGCCATTCTTTTAGGTGCAGAGACCCTCCGTGGATTGTACCCTGTTGATACCATTTCAGTTGTTGGTAAAATTTGTGCTGAGGTGAAGTTTATTCTATTTTCATTGTCCTTGCTAATCAGCATCACCGTTAAATTCGTTACGTCTCCCTTATCTCTTCTAAACCCTCAATCTAGAAAAGGATAAATCTGTCTCTCCAGTTCAAGAAGTAGAAAGATATTTTGCTCGTGTATCAGTTCTACGGATGATGTTCTGATCAGAGGTCTTCCCCAGCTTTCTTCCTGACTTCACTGTCAAACTGCCAAATGGCAAAATTTGGAAATTTGAAGAACCAATTTGTTTGCTTTGGATACAATTTCTCAACATGCTTTCTTGTGCAGGCAGAAAAGGTTTATAATCAGGATCTCTACTTCAAGAAGACTGTTAAATATGTCGGCGAACCTATGACCCACTTAGAATCAATTGCTTCCTCTGCAGTAAGTTGCAAATTGCACCTTTTTGCTCTTTAATTAATGTATGTTTGGCTACGTACTGTGTAATAAAACCTGCTTTACTTCAGTAAGCAGTTCTTCACTTGAAATCACATATATACTGCTTTTGTTTGATATAGGTACGAGCTGCCATCAAGGTGAAGGCATCTGTAATTATCTGCTTCACGTCATCGGGAAGAGCTGCAAGGTCTCTCTCTCTCTCTCTCTCTCTCTGGGTGTGTGCACGTGCGTGAGAGATATGCATGTACATGTTGGTCAGCAATGTGAATTTGTGGTTAAAAGTAACAATATCAAAACGAAACGTCCAACTGTTGCACATCTTAAAGAAATTGGATTTTATATCTGTATATATTCTGACAGTGCCGTGAAATTCTATCATTCACGTGTTATTAAATTCCTAATTTTAATTCCCACAATGCAGATTAATAGCCAAGTACAGGCCTACAATGCCTGTATTATCTGTTGTCATTCCTCGCCTGAAGACAAATCGAATCCGCTGGACCTTTAGTGGTGCTTTTGAGGTATTTATGTTACACATGGGTATATAGTGAAAAACATATTCCGTTCTGCTTTTATCTATTATGAACCATTTGCATTGATTGCTAGGCTGCTTAAAACTTTATATGGATGATATGAGGAGAACAATTTTAGCTGATGTATTATTTTTATTTGTGGATGTTAACTGTGCTATATCTGATGACGAACAACTATGCAATGATGCACTGCTAGGAGAAATTTACTCATTTCCTTGATATGGTTTTATGTTCAGCTTGATTATTCTTGAGCTGTCTGCCTTTCAACATTTTTATTAACTGCTATTTGATGGGTTTAGCCTATGGTTATTTTCTGAAGAACCGGGTCTGGGTTACCCAAGTGGTTCTATTGTCATCTGGCTGACATATTGCCTATTACAATTGTTAGTATCTTCAAGATGGGGTAGTAATACCAGTAAGGAGACAAGGCATTTGTGCTTCAAGATGGCTATCAGAATTTTATGTATACTAAGCACCTGATCAAAACCATCCAGTCTTATATCAACTCTGCTAAGGTATATTAGAAGGATCTTGCTACATGTACATCAAGATTTACATAATGGATTATATAATACCGCATGGCACTCTACCATTTGCCAGTTTAAAACACAATCAACTTTTTCATCCAACATTTTCTCTCTACATCATATTATGTAATCCATTATGTACATTTTTTATGTACAAGTAGCAAAATCCATATTAGAAATGGATCAAACAAGTAACAAACATAATTTCATAAAGACAATATTTAATTGATATACATGTAGCACTTTCTAATGAGTTTAAACTTTTAGATCAAAGTGCAACATGGGTTCAAGTCTCGCAACATGTGTCTGGCTTTGATGGGGAAAAAAATGAATTCCACCTACATGTGAGAGGGCATTTTGAAGACAATATTTAAATGATAATCATGTAGCCCTCTCTAATAGTTTAAGTGGTTCAACACTTATCTTCACCTGATTGTATGCTAAGAGAAAATATCCAGTATTTCAGTTTGTTACTCCAAGGTGGCTGCTTTCATGTTTGTGCTATGATATTTGTACTCCTATATACACAACTCTCTGTTTTTATACTCTATACACAACGCTCTGTATTTTATGCTTGTAATGTTTTTGGATCTGTTGTGTACACACAAGAACGAGGAAAAACTGTTGGTTGCTTTTATCTATGTTAAATTTCCGTTATGAAGCAACTGTAAAACATGGTTTTTAATCTTATTCATGCAAAATTTCATTTTTGTCTTTTCATTTCCCATTATATCAACTGATTTTTTTATTTTTTTGGCAAACGCAATTCTGGTATGTAACGTTGCAAAGTGATCTTATTCGCAGGCAAGGCAATCTCTAATAGTCCGAGGCCTTTTCCCAATGCTTGCAGATCCTCGACATCCTGTAAGATATCTTCCTTGTTCATATTTATTTTTATTATTAGAAAAAGAAGCCACTTAGATCACCCCTGTATTCTGCATTTTGATGATTACTTCCCCTAAATATACGTTGGGAAGAATTAGAACTACTAGACTTTTCCAGACTGAGTTATGGTATCTGTTTAGCTTACATGTACAATACAGTTCTGCTTCTACATGATTTTATATTCCCCTGATTATGCATGCTTGAATAATGCTTAGAAATTGTTGTCTAAGATGTCAGGGATTAGTATTCAGACGTTATTCAATTAGATGTCTAGTGCATGTTATATTCTATCGTAATCCACCTTGATTTTCAGATCAACATCATATTTACCCCATAGTAATTGGTCAATGACGAACTTGGATCTTAAAAATCCTGAAGGAACAAAAGTTACCTTCCGAAGGGAAAATGCATGTAAAGTAATAGAATTTCAAGCATGGTGCCTTTAAGCGAAGCTTGAGATAATTGAAATTCAAATATGTCTAGTCTCCATGTAATTGAAAAGCAAGCTTTGACTTAAAATTCTCCTTGAGGATCTTGAATATTTGGTTCCAGTTTCTTGGAAATTGTGTTTTTAGTTACGAAGCTTGCTTTTGTTATTGCGAATCATTGATTCAGGCTTTATCCTGCAGGCTGAGCCTACAAATGCAACAAATGACTCAGTACTGAAGGTTGCTTTGGATCATGGCAAGGCATCCGGTGTTATAAAACCACATGATCGAGTTGTTGTTTGCCAGAAAGTTGGTGATGCATCCGTGGTGAAAATCATTGAACTTGAAGACTAGACATTCCACTTGTCATGTGTTGTTCTTTCAGAAAACCTTAGTAATCAAGTCTCTTCTCTCTCTACAACAAACTCATGGGGTGATGCCGATTGTTGTGTAGCATGTTTCTAGTACGTATATCAGGACAGGAACATGCTTTGTACCTCTGTAGTCTGTCTTTTTTTTGTTATAAAGCCAGTCGTATCTAGGCATCTAGCTACCCGTGTATTAATGTAAAGAGTACAGGAATGTGGTCCAACTTCATAATAAAAGGTCACCTATCCCGGAGTCGAGAATTTGGCATTTTCTTAATCTTATCAGCTTATAAATTAGAATCTTTATTCTCTCAACTCATACAGGCATCTTTCTGAATTTTCATAATTCAGAAGTATTGGATCGCTAGAAAAGTTATCTAAGTCAAGTGGAGAAAAATCTAAGAAAAATGTCCGACTTAATAGTAAAAACGTGGATAAAAAGCCCTTGTGTACATTATTTCTCTACAAGGCATCTGCCCGAGTAATCTTTGTCCTCAATGGAACATCTCGGAGAAATTGGTGCCAAATATTGACGAAAACTCCCAGAATCGGACCTTGTGATTCAAACGAAAATCTTTGAACTAAAAATGGCATATCAGAAGTAACATTGCAAATACCTGGAAATTAATTATAATGAGCATTGAAAAATTCCGGTTAGGATCTGAATGATCTCTCCTGCAGTAGATCGTTTTCTACAAGGACCATGCTATATGTACCGAATTTTTTTATCAAATCTTTTACATCCCACTCACAATAGGAGATGGGGGCCATGGGTCGGCATTATTTAATACATGTGGGGGCCGCGCCTCATATGAGAGGAGGGATGTACAAGAGGATTAATCCTTTCTACAAATAAGATTCAGACTCGCACTAGATTTGAGGATAACTTGAGCGCCATTCACATAAGAAGTCTTCGAATATCGCTGAAGTTTGAATTTAATGATGCAAAGAAGTTGCCTGCAAAGATGATTTGTACCAAAGTTGGGGATTACAATAGGCCCTGTTTGGGAGGGATTTAGATTTTTTTATAGTAAATCAATTCTCATTTTCAACCACACATTTTTCAATAAAATAATATTTTCCATCACATCAATAATTTTTTCTTCTTTTTCAACCACACATTTCCCATCATATCACTATTCAAAATCAATTCTTCAATTCTCATTTTCAACCATACATTCTTTAATAAAATAATATTTTCCATCACATCAATAATTTTTTCTTCTTTTTCAACCACACATTTTCCATCATATCATTATTCAAAATCAATTCTTCCCCCAAAAATCCCTCCCAAACAATCTCATAATGATTAATGTGTTTCGCCTCCATTAAATGGCCAACTACCCGACACGTGAAACAGAAATATCTTTGATTTCATGAGAATAATTTTATTCTTTTGTGGTGGGTTACCAATCTTAAAAAGGAAATTAAATCTTTGGTGCTACACACTCCAAACTTTTCCATCAAAAACACGATGGTCAGCAGGCAATGTTAAATTCATTCTTGTGACAACGCCAGGCTTCTCGACCCCTAGAAAGATGAGAGCTCAACAATCAAAAGATAGAATGGTAAAATACTTGCACTTAATAATGAACCATAATATATACCATCATCTCCAACAACTGGTTCAACAACTTGATTACCCCTATCGACAGCAAGAATACCAGCCTACAAGAAAGAAATGGCCAAGTTATACACGATGCTTACAAAATATTAGTAAATTACATGTCACCCTATCTGGGAAAAATATATGCATCACTTGGCCCCATGGGTTAAGAGGTGATAACATTACTTAATTCTGTGAAAACCAGGGTCCGGAAGGTTAAAGTTATCTTTGTGCTTGGGAGAGAGAGAACCTGTGGAGGATTTACAAAAATTATCTACAGGAAACATCCCCAAGTTTGAAATGCTGCACAAGGAGCACAATATCTATTATATTTTAGGAAAGAAATGGCTAATCGATCATGCATACTGAGATCATATGGTAGATGTTGTCACCTGAATGTGCCACCTTGAAACTCATTTGGCTTAAGCTTTCCCGCCCGTGCCTCTTCAGCAAGATCCTTGACCTTTAGAGAACGGATAACCACACAAGGAAATATTAAAGTGAAAATTAGAAAAGAAATGAGTGTAAATGGTCAGTTCGAAAGGCGAGGTATTTTAAACTATGAAAAGGGGTACAAAACATGTCTCAACATTCAAGCTATGAAACTAAAAGCACTTCAAAATTTTGTCTTTGTGCACCTCTAGGGAAATTGATGATATGGACTTTTGATCTGCATTCCTAATAATTGGAGTCATCAAGCCCTGAAATAAAGAGAGAAGACAATGAGATCAAGGCCAGTTATAATATTAAGAAACGGACAATGAATCTCATGAAATACCTTCTCAGTAGCGACTGCAATAGATATGTCAACTGAATCGATAAAAATTATTTCACCCTTTGCAGCATCCCAGTAAGCTGTGTATTTAGTCAACTTTGTTCAGCATGGCATATCACAGGAGAAAAAGAAGACCATGCATCATTAACACTCAACACATGAATCGTCAATACGAAAACTCATATTTATACACTCCTTGAGAAAAAAATGATAAGAGGGAGGGAGGGAGGGAGAGAGAGAAATATGATTTCAGAAAGCTAAATTCAACTTCCCAACATCTGATGACAGGAAAAATTTGGAGTCTGAGCAGAGACGAATGTGAACTTAAGAATTGACACAGGTGTTCTGATAGTAATGGTTCTCAATGAATAAAACAGGCATCGTATAAATACTAAATTATAGCAGGGCAGGTGTATCCAGTAAGCAGATGAGTTCATTGTTTGCGTGTTATAATTCAGATATTGTATTGACACTTTTAGGAGTCTAATTGTCAAATTAGCAACAATATATAGATGAAAGCAGCTCTGACGCATAATTAAACTTTATAGGGAATAGCATACTTGAGATTCAATAAATAGCATGACTAGAGCAGTAGAAAAGAGTCCCCCAAGAAATCCCAGAAAAACAGTCTCTCGTGTTTTTCACATCTTATTAAGTCATCAAATTCAGTGCTTTTCAATCCCCAGGTTTCAATGGGGAACGAAAGACGAAATACAATCGATTTCTCCATTTTAAGCAATTATCACTTCTCCTTGTTCGTGTTCCCAAATCTTACCGGGTAGTTCCAATGTTTGGCTGTAATTAGATCTTTTAGCTTAGAGGGCAGGAGGTTAACAAGCTTGCAGTATCGCTTAGTAATTAGCATTGTTCATTGGAAACCTCAAATCTTCTGAGATATATACCAGTTCAACAAAACATAGAACCTTGTAGATCTCAGCTGGAAACAGTTCCAACAGAAAGAAATGCCAAAAGTTTTAGCCATGCCCCCTTTAAGTATTCAATATGAGAATGCCTCACTGCAGAATAAATATTAAAACACAACTCTCTAAGTTTCATGTTGCAAAGCATTTTACAGTTGATCATTATTTGGTCCAGTATATCGAAAACCAATGCATCTTACCATTTGCTTCTGATACATTTCTCAATGCAATAGCAACAGCTTTGATGACAATGTCATTCACTGAGACTTTTACATCATAATTTGCTGGGAAAAATGAGATTGAACTTATATTACTGCTTTGAGGAGAGAGAGGGAATAAAACAGAGATCAAAAGCACATACCTTTAAGCTCCTTCCTAAAGGAGAGAAGAAGATCCAGTATAACATCTGAATTGAACCCGTTAATATGAGTATCAGACAGGTAGGTGGACATAGAGTGCTAAAGTACAAAAATCTTAGGAAGTTTGAGAACTGTGGACAAATATAAATGAGGTATAGACTGTTTTGATTCCAACAACCGTGTTGCAATCACCTGGAAAAAATAGAACAAAATTGTGTCTTATGTTAAACATTTTAGTAGAAGATAGACTACCAATGAAAATAATGACCAACGGTATTATGTCTGTATCAAAACCTGATAATAATACAAACATATATATCAAAAACAAAGAAAAGTTTTTTTCAAAACATAGGCATAAATCAAGAATCAGGCAGAGAATTCTTGGCTTCCCAGGTTAGAATCAAGTGCAATATATCTATTTATAAGTTGATAAACAGACACAAATTAGACATGGATGAATAAATAAACTAATGGGTGATGAAGTTCTCATGGTGGATGCTATTGCTTTATTGCATGGCTTTATTTTAAGAAACTGAGTTAAAGGATCAGCAAATGTTTAGAAGAAACTTAAAGAGGATTTGAAACAAGAAAAGTGTACATAAACTGTAAATTTACCAAATGATGAAGGTTTATAGCCAATAACTGGTAATGAGACTTCCTGATTCAAAGGAAAACAAGAAATTGATGAACATATTCATTAAACAACAATGAGTAATTTGAAATAAACGTTTTCGTCATACAGTGCTTTGCATTGTGTATTATTTCACAAAACCAAAAGAAATCATCCACGAGAAGAACATATCATAGTTGTCCTGCTCCTGTATGATATATCAATTACAGCAAATAAATATACGTCGATTGAGTAAATGAGGTGAAAATGTTAATAGGTTCGACAGCTAAAGAAGAACCAGTAACACTCAATTTCCGTGAGTTATCTTATGTAATTACACTCATTTAAAGCAAGGTCATTCCTACTATGTCCTCTCATCTTCAACTCACATGACAAATTGTTTCATATAGTTCTATTTTACCCCCATCTGCCGTTGGGTAGCTACGGCACCTGGCGCATTACCAGAGTTCACGTATTCGTTTAATTTTTACGTACATCCCAAAATTTGTATTGCACATTTACGTGACTAAGTTTGAGCATGCCTACGAGACATAAAGATCCATTCCGAAATATTAACATGTCAAATGAAGTAACATACTCTCTTTGTAAACTCGGAATCGTCGTTTGATTGTGGACGTCGCTATATTTCTCATGCATGTCTCCAACAGTAACTAATAATAATGATATTAAAGGTGACTAACACTAATCGTTAAGACATGGGTTTCACAACGTAAAATTTATTGTCCTCTAACCATAGTTATTAGACCCGGACAGGGTATTGGGTCTGGGGTTACTAGTTGAAACGGTGGGTCAATGATCAGATTCTTAATTAAAACGCAATAACTCATATTTTGACTTTGATTACAATTTGATAAATTCTTAATACAATTTAACTATGACATAATTTTGACTAAGAAAATTGCCAATTAAAAATTTAAAAATTATCAATTATATAATTTGGACTTAACAAATATTATATTAATAAAATTGTCGACAAATCTATCAAAAAATGATTTGTCCAAAAAATCCAATAGATTTTTGTAGTTGATCGATATAGAGATATATCAGGGAGTTAAGCCTTCTAATAAAACCCTTCTTCATCGATCACTTTCGATTTAGATTTTATAAGATATAGATAAATGAAAAGTCGTTGTGATGAGAAAAACATGAGGACCAAAATTAATTGTTCTTGATGTTCATTGATGAAGTGAGCTAGGTAATTAAATTTCAAAAAAAAAATTATGGATAAAGTCTTATCCTATCAATTATAGATAAAAACGCACTTCCATAAATCTCTCCAAATACGAGATCGTGGAATGTCTAGCCCAACAAATTGAACTTGCAATTGACCGAACATGAACAAGGAGAGCGATTGGTGAACAAATTTTGTTTATTGTCCGATCTAATCCATCCATTAAAACTAAGGATGTATGTGTAAAATTAGCTAGTAAAAAATTTTACAATCATGTTACATGAACATCAAGTTTGATATAATGTTAGATGACATTTCATCACGTTACATGAACATCAAGTTTGATATAATGTTAGATCACATTTTCCATCCAATCATTTACTGCCACATGCTATTATGTCAAACTTTTTGTCAAATCCTTCTGGTAAAGTAACATTATTCAAATTTTTAGGCCACGAGTCAAAAGGTTGGGACAAAATTATAGTCTAATAGATAATTTGCATCAAATCGACCCCCAATACCACCAACGTCACCATCTTGATGGATAAGTTCATATTTCCGTCTAAATTACTGTATTAGTAAAATTGAAAATCCCATGCAACTTTAAAAAGTTGAGCTTTGCTCCGCCTATATATAGAGACTTCCCTCGACGTTGTTAAGTATGAGTCATAAGCATTCTATATCTCTATTTATGCATAGGAAATATTTCATTGGGTATATATCGAGTACTTGAATAGTTTGACTATTTTCATCATTCCAAAATTTGAAAATGGCTCAATCCAAGGTCATCGGCATTGCATTCTTGGTTATATTGTTTGTGGCTCAAGGAAAAGTAGGAGGAGATGGATTGAGCATCGAGTTGGGTTCAGGTTATGGCTGTGGGAGTGGTGGTGAAGCAGCAAGTGGCGATGGGGAACTTGAATCTGGATATGGATCTGGCTATGGCTGGGGATATGGTTCCAGCGGAGGGATGGACGAGGGTAATCTATGAACCAATGCAATGAAATTAGTGTTCGTATAACATATATCAGTGTTGGAATGCATCATGCGTCTGTTACGTACTATAGTCTTGCAAAAATATAATTTGTTCAGTCAAGCATGCCTTTTATTCACCCACTATTTAAAATTCACAACTATGACCCACACATTTTGTAGGATTCACAATTTAAAAGCACCACTAAACATAGAAATATTTCCATAAAGTATAGTAAAAGAAGTACGTAACGTGCACTTTCATTTTGAAAGAAACCGAAGAATTTGAACCAAAGAACCCGAAATGAAATAGAGGCAGAGGAGGCTTGCTATATGGTATGGAAAGAGCTTCTGTATATGTAAGTTCATTGGCTCGAGCATTGGCTGAACCATGAACCAATGCAATGTAACTAGTTTCCTTTACACAATTCAATCTTGGGAAATTCTAATTTCTGAAATATATTCATAATGAAAAATCAAGAGTGAGTTAAAAGCGCAACAAACCTGTAAAGCTGCTGGAAAACAATTTTTCAAGCAATATGCCATCAAAATTTACACGAATCATTTATAAGATATTTAATACGTTCGACTCTAACATGATTAAGAAATAAATGCATATGAGATATTTGTCCTTTGTCATGTCCACTCAAGGCTTGCAAATGTACCCTTATTTGCCAAAGAAAAGATACAGATACAGGACTATATGTTGGCTTGCTGTAGTCATTAATATACGTTCAAAAAACTATCAATTATACGCAACTTCCTCGGCAAAAATTAGGAGCAATTACCATAAACAAGGAGTAATGACTTACATACATGTATGTTAAGTGACACGACTCATTTTTCTAAAGGTTTTCACAGTACAAAGTAATAACAAGCCAAGTGAAATATAGACTTAGAACAGTTATATTTGTAAAAAGGAAAACTGCAATTTTATCCATCATAGCACGATTGAAAGAGTTGCAACGTTCAAAGAGTTCTCAAAATTTCGATATAATCCTAGGATCTAACAGATAAGCTTAGCACACCAGATTCTAACAAATGGAATAATTTCTTATATTTGGTCTATCCTCACAATCTTTCTTCAAAAGATTTCATGTCATCTCGATGCAATGCTCTCTTTGGTGACACTTAAATTCCTACCCTCCATTGTGACAAGTTCCAACAGTTGCCAAAGTAGAGAATTATTCCATCACCTCTCAGAAATCGAAGCAACTTTTCGAGCTATCATGGACTCAGCTACATGGATTGCTCTTTGGGGCCCTGTGATTGTAACTTTTCTGCAAGAGGACAAAAAGGTCTCAAGACAAGAATGCCTAGGTTTTACTAAAAAAATGAAAATCATCGATTTGCTCATACCTATCTGATGTCCCGACCATGAAATCACCCCTATCGGAAATCTTTATCCTAGCTCCACTAAGCTGCAAGTAAAGAAGCAGAAAGTTGGCGACCAAGCCAATAGAGAAATTTCTGAACTATCTCATGTAAAACTTGCACATTTATTTATTTAAATTTAGTCTTTAGCACACCCCTCCTCACATGCAGCCAAGGTTCATTTTTTTATTAAAGGTTTGACAAGCGCACAATTTTCATAAAAAGGGTGGTGGTGGTAGCTCGACTTAAATATATCGTGTTGAAGCACCCCATCTAAAATCATAAGCCATTGGAGAAGGACGCATTTATCCTATTCAACAAGAAATGAAAAACCTGCACAGTACCTGACTGATCTCCGTGAGAGTCTTTCCACCTCGGCCAACAACTAGTCCTATATGCTCATCTGCAACGCCAATAGTTATTGAACTATTTTTATCTTCCTACAATACCATGTAAATTCAGTTAAACATATATAAATATACAACAACATAAATTATTATTACGCTGTTATATGCAATTCTTGGGCACTTTTTACTATGGAATATTATTGCATCTAAAAGAAAAATTAATATAAGATGGAATGAGAACTAAGGCTAGTCTCAAGATCCTGTTATAGTAAAATTTGGAGCATTAGTAGCAAGACGGATCTTACTAAATGACAAGGATACTTTATAATTAATTTCAGACACCAGATAAGTTAATGAAATTTTTTAACAAACGATGAAAACATAACTAATTGCATGAATAAGATAGCTTTCGTTCAAAAAGTCAGAATTCCAAACCAACATTTGACGGCAACACAACTAGAAAACAGCTTAGTCAAAATGTGTGGAGATCATATTAGACCTTGTTCTGAACCCCGTTGTTTTGATACTTCCCACCAACTCCATTGGGTCCATAGTTCATCCCGTTATATGCCACTGCTGGAAATGGTCAGTGAATCAC